AGGCCTCGCCAAGATCACAAACAATACGCAAAGGACATCTGTTAGACTAGACCTTGAGTATATGTGTAAGTTTTGCTACACCCAAAATATGTGATTTCCCCTTAAATGTGTTACACTAGATTTCTGTATATATTCCAGTGTTTATAAATAGAGAAGCCATTAATGTGTTAACGCATTAAGTAAAACATTTTGAAGTAGCTACAATCCTCTCTCATCGTTTTTATTGGGTTTTGGATTACATTTCTCTATTGTATCCATTGTATCACCATTAGTTATTATTTAAATATTATTAGTATTTACATTCTTACTATTATTGTTATATTCTAACATAGCAATCATGAAAATATACATTTTTGTTTCCTCATAAACCCTTTTGCCAATCCCTGATGGTTCATTCCTGCTTTGGCATTGCTCTTATATTAGCACCCTTGATGGACAACCAAGCTGATTTCTTCCAACTCTGTTGCTCCTTGCTGAAACCTTTCCATTTTGTGGGGCTTCTGAGGACAGCAGGGCAGACTGAAGACAGCTCCGCTTTTGTGAAGCTGACGACCATGGCGAAAAGAGATCAGCTCCTTGGAATCCCTCTCTGGATTAATGAGAGGACAAGGATCGCCCACAAGTCTGCTCCATACAGAAACTCCCTGCGAAGAGATTGTAAAATAGCGATCTCCAGCAGGTTTCAGAGTTCTGGGAGCCAGGGGAAAAACATCATGCCTAAGCTGCAGTTCGGTACCTTTCAAAGAGACTCTGGGTTCACCTACTTCCCCTCTTAATTACTTTAGGAAGCTGTTTTTTACTGATTTCTTAGAAGTTAAGAACCTTCCAAAGGGCAAGTTTTATTACGCTGGCTTTTATTACAACTTCTTTTTGACCAGGATTGAATGATGAGGTTTAAAGGATTTGTTTATAAGTGGAGAGAGATTTCTTTTGCTTTACTTCTTAGAAAAAGTGATAAATTGGATTACAAAATGGATTTTTTGATTAAGGTTAAAATACATATGC